GGGTCGGGGGTGGCTTCCAGGGTCCCCGGCCCACACTGAGGCCATGCCCCCAGGATGACTGGGGTCGGGGGTGGCTTCCAGGGTCCCCGGCCCACTCTGAGGCCATGCCCCCAGGATGACTGGGGTCGGGGGAAAGGCGGGTCTTGGGATCACACAGTAGGGACCCGATCAATTAGAATCCCCCTTTCCCTCACTGAGCAAGTGACATGGACAGGAGGCAGCATGCACAAGTCCTAATAGGGAGGCTTGGGGAAGAGAAACTGCCAGCCTCCTTTAATGTCGGCATGAAGGCTCCTGGCACAGAACCTACTGTCCTTGGGTGCCCCATCAAGATAGAGTCAGGCAGCCCTGGCCTCAGCAGTAGATACAGCAGCTGAGCAGCATCCCAGGGCCCCACTGCAAAGGCTGCAGAGGTGCGACCCCAGCCCACCCCTGGCTGTGGCCCTGACCCCATGCGCCTGGCCCTATTCTTGAATCCTGCCAAGTGCTGCCTCCCTGGGCACTCCGGGCAGACACCACAGCCAGGTCCCTCCTGGGCACCCCAGCTCCATCTATTTAGTGTTTTGGGGTCCTGAATCTGGGCGTCTTCCCTGATCTTCCCTCCCACACCCACACATCCACCCATGTCCTGGGTCCGGCGGTTCACACCTATCTTGAACTGCTCCACCTGCCAGCATCACCTCTCCTTGCACCACAGCAACAGCCCAGTCAGCCACCCGGTCCGACAGCTGCTCCCTTCATCTCTGAACAGCGGCTCCTGCAATCCTCGGAGCACTGGCGACCCCCAGTGTTTCCTGTCACTTTAGGAAAATGGCTCCTTGTCACCCACGTCTTGTCGACTTCCCAGCCTCACCTGCTGCCTCCCTCCTACTCACACCCACTACTCCAGCCGCACTGAGCCCAGGAGGGGAGGAGAGGGGAAGGTGAGGGACAGAGGAGTGTGGCCTCAGACTTACCTGGTCAAAGAGCTGGTGCTGAGCAAGGTAGCCGACGTCCCTCGGCTAATCCACCAGGGAAAACCAGAGGCAACACAGAAAGCCCAGTTAGTCGTGACAGATGCCCTCCTGCTGCTGCTGTCCAGCTGGCCCAGCCCCAGCCCCGCCACCCTTCCACTCCATCCTGAGTGGTCCTCTCCAACCCTTAGAGGCCCTGGGGCAGCTTCAAAGAACCTCTCCAGCACTGGGGTACCCAGTTTGTAAAGCACTGATCTCCCATCTGATTGGCAAGCATTTTCATAAAATGGCAACAAACAGTGCAGGCAAAGATGTAAGAAAATGGATACTTGTGTTAATTGCTGGTGAAAGTATAAGTGATTAACTTTTGGGAAAAATAAGCTGTCCTATCCTGTCCTGTCCTGTCCTAATTTTGACAGGGCCTGCTTCTGTTGTCCAAGCTGGAATGCAGTGACCTGATCTTGACTCACCGTAACCTCTGCCTCCCAGGCTCAAGCAATTTGCCCCACCTCAGCCTCTTGAGTAGCTGGGATTACAGGCACGCACCACTACGCCCAGCTGATTTTTATATTTTTTACAGAGACAGGGTTTCACTATGTTTCCCAGGCTAGTCTTGAACTCCTGCGCTCAAGCGATCCGCCTGCCTCAGCCTCCCAAAGTGCTGGGATTACAGGGGTGAGCCACCACGCCTGGCCGCTATTATAATTTTAAATACACATACTCTTGACTTAGCTGTCCAACTTTTGGAACCCACTGAATTATACTCCCCTGCCCATTAAAAAGGACCTGACATGAATCCCTCATGTCTGCTGGCCGAGCAGTGTGCCTTCCTCGCTGTGGTCATCCCTCTGACCACAGACTTACGGACTGGCTCCTTCAAAACCTCCCACGGCAACACACGGAGGGTTATTTGCCTAAATGTTCTATGCTCTCTCCCTTCCAAGTATTAGGGGAAAGCAGTCCCCATGATGTACCTCATTCACGATGTATTTGCTGATGAACTCGTTGACCGTCATGAGTGTCTGGGACCATTCCTCGTCTGTGTACCTCGAACCAACTTCCACCGGGACGGTTCGGCAGCCAGCGATCCCTTGGATATACTCCAAACTAGCAGAAAGACACACATTGGCGTCATCACTGCTAATATTTTTGGGGCATAGTACTAAGTGTGCTTTGCACGTGGTCCCCTTTCATCCTCGGAAAATCTCATGTGCAGAGATGAGGACTGTCATCCCCAGCTTCACTGATGAGGAAACGGGCACGGAGAGGCGGGGCCTGCTCAAGGCTGTGCAGCTCCTATACAGTGCCGCAGAGCTTTGCAGATAGGGCCAGTAAGTCTGGGTGGCTGGGCTTCTCTGGTTCCCTGCTTGCCAGCGGCCTCCTCACTTCTTTCTTTGCTCATTTTGTCACTAAGCTGAGAAGCCTTTGAACAAATAGTGGGCAGCGCGGCGGGTGCTGAAGGGAAGTCCCCTGGGCTCTGCCCTCTAGCCTGGGACTGATTCCAGGCCTCATCAGGTACAGGCCAGGGGATCTGTGGAGGTTACTGAACCTCTCTGAGTCCTTGATCCCCATTTACAGAATGGGGGTGACGACAACACCTGTCCTAGTGCCAGGTACACAGTAAAATGCTTCATTGAAGGCTTGCTGTGAGGAGAGCTCCTGCAATGGGAAGTCCTCTACATGTCTCAGCGGGTACCATTCGCTCCGCTAAACCACAGAACAGGCCGACTCCATCTACCTTCCTGGAGACATGCCTCCTTATTTCCAAACTCATGCAGAGCCTCCGCGTGACAGCCACGCTCCCGCTGCCTGATCTGATCTCTCCATCATGAATCTGACAAAGGACTAGAAACAAACACAAGAGACCACAGAATCCCTCTGAGAGAGAGGGGCTGTCTCTTGGGTTATTTCTGTGCTTAGCCTCAGGGCCCTGAGATGGGCTGAAATTGCTGGGATCCTGCAAAAACTGCATAACAGACACATCCTAGGACTGCCACTTAGGGACTCATTAAAAAACCGCTTAGGGCGAGGAAGGTAGAAGGTAAGAATCCCATCACCTGCGGCATAAATTCAGAGCACCTTCCTTTTCATTCTTTTTTAACCCCTTGGCAATCAGTCAAGGGCTGCTAGTGAAGCATCTACAAGGCTGCATTCCTCTGGGGATGGTCAGGGGAGGAATTCAGGGAGCCACGGGGAACGCTAAAATGGGAAGAGGGACCTGACCTCCCTCAGTGACCACCCACCTCCACTTCTGCATGCACGGCCAGTGGTCAGCCACGCCTTTCAGGATCACGGGCCTCCCTGGAACCAAAAACTGCTCTCTGAAATGCTGGAGGGACGGACGGTGCAGCCGGGGGACTGTTCTTTCTAAGTTCACATCTGGAATCGAACCACGGTCCGTCTTTGCTTTCTGTTTAAAATCAAAACAGAACAAATTAGCAAGCACCTCAGGAAGTCGACATTTGAGGCATTCCACCAGGAACCTGTGTCAGGGGTAGGAGAGCTCAGCTGTCAAGAGTACCAGTGACAACAATAGACAACATTTGCTATTATTAGTGCTACTATTACTATTTGCTCCTCATGAGATCAAGGTGGTTTTCTTCTTAACCATTTCATTAAAAATGTTTGTTTCATTATAAACTACTTTCACAGAAAGTCTGCAATAAAGGAAAACTTACTATCTCCAACTTCATCATCTTAAGGTCTTCTCATTCCTTCATGTTCTTTTCCCATCTTAAACACACACACACACACACACACACACACACACAATATCTCTGACCCACTGGGGGTAACAGCAACGATGAAGCAGCAGCCCTGCCTCTCCCCTCCAATCATTTATCAAAAGCAGTTTCCACGTGGCCACCCAGTCCTTGCAGTTTCTTAGGAGTGGCTGCACTATCATTTACTTAACCATCTCCCAACTGGGTGACCTGAGTAAGTGACTTGCTGCTTGAGAGCCTCAGTGTCCACAGGTGTGAACCTGCTGGAAATGGCCAGCCACAGTGGCTCATACGTGTAATCCCAGCACTTTGGGAGACCAAGGTGGGAGGACTGCTTGAGCCTGGGAGTTTGAAACCAGCCTGGGCAACACAGAGAAACCTCTATCTCTAGAAAAAATTTAAAAAGCTGGGCATGGTGGTGCACGCCTGTAGTCCCAGCCATTCAGGAAGCTGAGGTGGGAGAAATCACCTAAGCCTAGGAGGTCAAGGCTGCAGTGAGCTATGTTTTTTTTTTTTTTTTTTTTTTTTTTTTGAGACTGAGTCTTGCTCTGTTGCCCAGGCTGGAGTGCAGTGGCACGATCTCGGCTCACTACGACCTCCACCTCCTGGGTTCAAGCAATTCTCCTGCCTCAGCCTCCAGAGTAGCTGGGATTACAGGCGTGTGCCAGAACGCCTGGCAAATTTTTGTATTTTTAGTAGAGATGAGGTTTCACCATGTTGGCCAGGCTGGTCTCGAACTCCTGACCTCAGGTGATCTGCCAGCCTCGGCCTCCCAAAGTGCTGAGATTATAGGCGTGAGCCACCACGCCTGGCCTGCAGAGGGCTATGATTGTGCCACTGCACTCCAGCTTGGGTGACTGGGCAAGACCCTGTCTGCAAAAAAAAGAAACAAAATAAAAGAGTAACCCACACACCATGCCCTTGGCCACATGGTGCCCTTGGCAACACCAGGTATCATATGAAGCCTTGTTTGCTAACTTAAGAGCCAACGATGACATGCTGTTTTGCTATTTGCATCTCTCTCTCTCATTTTTTTAACCAGAGGTGAGGCTGAACATTTTCCTGCACATTTGTTTAACAGATCTATTTCCTTCTTGTGAACAGTCTGTTCAGGTTCCTGGACTTCTACCTCCTGGGGCTCAAGAATTTTTCCCTATTGATTTGTACCATTCCTTACATAATAGAGATATTCATTATCTGACATATTTGTTGAAAATGCTTCTTCTCCCTTTATTGGATTTTCTTTTATTTTGGTTACATGCATGTGTGTTTAGTGTCAATCACTTGCATTTTTCTTACGTAAAAATAATTTGTGGCTCATCCCTGCAATCCCAGCACTTTAGGAGGCTGAGGTGGGTGGATCACCTGAGGTCCAGACAAGCCTAGCCAACACGGTGAAACCCTGTCTCTATTAAAAATACAAAAAGTGTCAGGTATGGTGGTGGGCGCCTATAATCCCAGCTACTTAGGTGACTGAGACAGGAGAATCGCTTGAACCTGGGAGGCGGAGGTTGCAGTGAGCTGAGATCGTGCCACTGCACTCCAGCCTGGGCAACAGAGTGAGACTCCGTCTCAAAAATAATAACAATAATAATAATAATATGCATTGTAGGAAATTCTGAAAACATAGCATTTAGAAAAATGTCAGAAACATCCCATAATTGCACTACTGAGTGTCTAGTACAGTCTTAGTCATTTCTTTCTGTGGGTCAGTTATCGGCCACTCTACAGACAAGGAAACCGAGGCTCAAAGGAGGTTAAGTGACTTGCTTGGGGGTGTTGTAAGTGAGGCCTGTGTGTGGGCACCAGGACCTGAAGCCTTCAGAGTAAACTGTGCTCTGTTCCTGGGGGTGCTCTTTGGAACAGGCATATATAGACCCAAGAGGTGGGAGAGATGGATCCCCAAAACAGACATCAGCTAGTTGTAGTATCTCATCCAAACCCAGGAGCAGAGAGACAGGAGCAGCCGGAGGTATCACCTCGCCTGGGTGAGACTTCAGCAAGCCCACCGAGAAGCAGCTGAAAGAAACGGGCCGCCGCTGGCTGCAGCTCTCACCCAGACAATCTCTGTAAGCTATTCTCAGGAGCCACGAAGCTTCTCTGTTGCCTCTCTGCTGAAAGGGCACTGCCTTTGCAAAAAAAAAGAAAAAGGGAAAAAAAAAAGGAAAAAGCTTTCTTTTTTTTTTTTTGAGAAAATGAATGGAGCTGTTCCATTTCAAAAATCAATGAGGGCTGAGCACAGTGGCTCACACCTGTAATCTCAGTGCTTCGGGGGGCCACGACAGGGGGATCGCTTTAGGCCAGGAGTTCCAGATTAACCTGAGAAACATAATGAGACCCTATCTCTGCAAAAAATGAAAAATAAAGAAAAAACTAAAACAATTAGCTGGGTGTGCTGCCATGCCGCCATAGTTCCAGCTACTAACAAGGCTGAGGCAGAAGGATTGCTTGAGCCCAAGAAGTGGAGGCTGCAGTGAGCCGAGATCACACTACTGCACTCAAGCCTGCGAGACAGAACCGGAGCCTACTTCGGAAAACAAACAGAACTTCAGAATCAGTGGAGATGCTATTTTCCATCAGAGGGGTTGCAGGCCACGAGTCCTCACCCCGGGGGAGAGATGACTCGGAATTTCTAGAAGAACAGCATTGCTGGATGGCTAGTGTGCTTGCGGCAATCGCCCCCACATACCTTTATGCAGGGCTGCTCCGGGGTGGAGCCGTGGGCAGGCCTCTTTCCAGGGAGGTGTGTCTGCAGGATGGCGGCGACTTTAAGGAGGATGTCCCCCAGGATGGCCGTCCCCATCAGCAGGCCCATGTCACAGACCCGCAGGGCCGTGGCCACAGTGGTGGCATCCTCAGGTGCCTGGCACAGACACAGGGCTTTCAGGAGGCAGCCGATGGCGTAGACCCGGCGCCAGTCTTTGTCTACGTCCCGCCACGTGCCCGTGTTGAGCTTCTCCCAGGAGTAGTCCAGGATCACCTCGCTGGTCTGCAGACACTCGTCCCTCCTGCCCTCGTAGAAGAGCTCAGTGGCTCGCTGCAACAACGTCACCATGCTCCTCTCCACTTTCTCCCCGAGGTCCAACTTCAGGTCTTCTTTAGTGTGCGGCAGGAGTGCCCTGAGGGCCTCCCAAAGAGTGCCTTCTCTGGCCAGGGGCTCTGCGGGGCAGTGGGGGTCTCCAGCCATCAGGTCACTGCCGGCTCAGTCAGACACGTGCCTGGGGAGGTGGAGAGAAGCAAGAGTCAGACACCAGGACAGACCTGATCCCCTGTGGGTTCCCGCAGTTTCCCGCATCTCATCTGCGAGGATTTTTCAACAGTGGTTTTCTCTGCTGGGCAGAAGCTCTGGAGGGGAGGGCCCCCATCTGTCTGGGGTCACCGCTGTATCTTCAGGGCCTGTCGCAACACCTGGTACTCAGTGAGCACTGGATAAATGTTCAGAAAGGAACGTGTATTGTCCTTGTCTGCAAGGCCTCCCATACCCCTCTGCTGCCTGGCAAACTCCTACTCAACCTTTAAGGCCCATCTTAAATACCCCTATGTGAGGCCTACCAAGATTCTCCAGCAGTGTGCTGTGTTCCTGCAGCCCTTGAGCTTCTCTTACAGCACTTGTCAGGATGTATGAAAACACAGGCTTACATGTGTTTCTATCCAACACTGCACTGCCAGCCCCACCAGGGCAAGAATGTAGCTCATTCCTCTACGTTTCCCCAGAGCCTAAAAGCAGAGCCTGAGTGGCAGGCACTCGGGAGTGCCAGACTTTGAAAAGTATTCGAGGACGCTGGTATGGTGGCTCATGCCTGTAATCCCAGCACTTTGGGAGGCCAAGGCGATTGGATCGCTTGAGCTCAGGAGTTCAAGACCAGCCTGGCCAACATGACAAGACCCCGTCTCTACAAAAAATACAAAAATTAGCTGGGCATGGCGGTATATGCCTGTGGTCCCAGGTACTCGGGAGGCTGAAGGTGGCAGGATCACTTAAGCCTGGAGGCAAAGGTTGCAGTAAGCCGAGATCATGACACCAGCCTGGGTGATAGAGCAAGATCCTGTCTCAAATTTAAAAAAAACAAAAATGAAGTGACTTGCCCCGAGGCCGACGGTCAATCATTTGTGCAGAAGCAGGGCTTAAATTCCGGCCGATCTCAGCACCCTCTCCTGTGTGCCATGTCAACGCTGCATGCTTGACATATATTAACATGTCCCTTGCAGTCCTACGATGGGAGTTCTACAGATGAATAAACTGAGATTTCAGAGGTTTAGCAATTTGTCCAAAACTACAGAGTAAGTGGCAGTGTCTGCCCAGAACACTCATCGCCCCCAAGGGTGAGCTCTTTGGACTTTGTATCCACAGGGCTGAGCTCACAATGAGTTCATTTCCGTCCTTGGTTCACAATGAACATTCTTCCTAGCAAGCTCAGGGTGTGGTAGGCCTCAGAGAGCCCCAGCCTGCCAGGGTGGGTTCTATCTCTAACCTCCTAAAATGCTTGTGCTGGCCTCATTCACAGCCTTCTTGGAGAGTTTCACAGTCCAATTTCCAACCTGGACTTATCCACTAGGCCAGCACAAGACACCACATGGGCCCATCCCTGGCCTCATCCCCTGTGTGTCTTCTATGAATCTTATAGAGCAACATGGAGAAGTCTCATCTTCAGCATCCAAAAGACCTCAGGGGCCTCATATCCTGGCTTCTCATAAAGGCCGGTGGAAAGGCCTCCCAGGAGACCATTTATTGCCTTACTATAAAACTGGCTTCCACTGGGGCTCTACGCACCAGCTTTGTAAACTTCTCTCTTGACGACCTTAGAAAACGGCCTCCCAGAGGGTTTCAAATGGGCTATAAACCTGTTCCCTGCAATGCAGACTACGGGCTTTATAAACTGGTGTTTCAGAGTGACCTTATAAAATGGCCCCTCACAGGGCGCCTATCAGCCTTACAAAGCCAGCTTCTCAAGGTGGCCTCACGTGTGTGGCTTTGTAGCCAGGTTTGCCCAGCGGCCCCGTGTGCTGCTTTGTCACCTGGCCTCCCAGGGTGGCCTCACATTTGGTCTTCATAAACTGCTTCCTAAGGCAGCCTATCTGCTACTTTGCAACTTGGCCTTGGAGACCTCATGTTGAAGGCCAATGGACACGGCCTTGTCCTGGGAAAGATGGCTTCCTAATACTGCGAGTTGGCTGTACAATCTCCTCTTGGCCGCATGAAATAGCCTTATTGTTATTCTTTAATGCAGAGTTCTTCAATGAATGGCCTTATCAAAAGGCCTTCAGAGATACTTATGTTGACAAAATATAATGGTCTTTCAGAGACAGAGGTTCAGGATGGCTGTATGAGTTTGTTTTCAAAATGACTTTTCAGATTGCTGGCCTCCCCAAAGGCCTCAAGATTGATATTATACACTACCCTCCAGCGGGGCACCTATAATCCCAGCTACTTGGGAGTCTGAAACAGGAGGACTGCTTGAGCCCAAGAATTCGAGACCCTGTCTCTAAAAAAAAATTTAAAAATTAGTTAGCTGGCTGTGGTGGCACACACCTGTAGCCCCAGCTACTCCGGAGACTGAAGCAGGAAGATTGCTTGAGCTCAGGAGTGTAAGGCTACAAGTGAACCGTGTTTGTGCCTCTGCACTCCCATCTGGGCGACTGAGTGAGACCCTGTTTCAAAAAATAAAACAAAACTATAGCTTTGTACAAGGCCTTATGTTGGCAGCATGGTGAAGTGACATTCTGGCTGTATGAGTCTGCTGCCTGGTTGCATAGACTTCCCCAAACCTCTCATAATTTGGCCTTTTATGTAGTTGCCATATCAAACAGCCACCTCCTGGCACAGGAAACAGTCTTCCAAAATGGTTTTTTGAGACGGAGTCTTGCTCTGTCACCCGGTCTGGAGTGCAGTGATGCGATCTCAGCTCACTGCAATCACCGCCTCCCAGGTTCAAGTGATTCTCCTGCCTCAGCCTCTGAGTAGCTGGGACCACAGGCACGACTGCCACCATGCCTGGCTAATTTTTGTATTTTTAGTAGAGACGGGGTTTTGCCATGTTGGCCGGGCTGGTCTCGAACTCCTGACCACAAGTGACCCGCCCACCTCAGCCTCCCAAAGTGCTGGGATTACAAGTGTAAGCCACCATGCCCGGCCCTTGTAACTTGTTTTAAAAACTGGCCTTTCTATAGATGGGGGCTTGTCTGAGGACCCAGTGAAGTCAGATTTTGTCTTAGTTTTACAAATCGATCTGGTTTCTTCATAGTGACAGGAAAGTGTTGTTTGTTGTGTCCATCTACCCCTGCAGGGAGCAGACACACTGGCTCCTGTTAGCCGTGCAAAAAGGCCTTACAGAAGGAGTCTTGGTCTGGCTGGGGAAACACTCTCTTGTTAGCTGTGTAAAACAATCTTCCAGGGTCGCTGGCCTCATGGGCTGTGAGAAGCAGCCCTCACACCACCAACCACTTGAGATGGGCCTCCTGGGAAGGTCAGGTGCAGGCCTCAGGTCACTGCCTTTCTGAATGGCCTCAGGTCCAGGCTCATCCGTTTTCCGACATTCCCTACATACTGGTCTGATAAAAAGGCTTCTTGTTGTATCAAGCAATTTTCTGGAGGAAAGGACCAGCCAGAGTAGCCTTATGGCCTGGCTTTATTGATTGGCTTCCCAGAACTCCTTACTGAATTGCTGTTTACAAAGTCTTATATTAAGGCCAGGTGCAGTGACTCACGCCTGTCATCCTAGCACTTTGGGAGGCTGAGGGGGGTGGATCACCTGAGGTCAGGAGCTCCAGACCAGCCTGGCCAACATGGTGAAACCCCATCTCTACTAAAAATACAAAAATTAGCCAGCATGGTGGTGCACGCCTGTAATCCCAGCTACTCGGGAGGCTGAGGTAGAAGAATTACTTCAACCTGGGAGGCAGAGGTTGGGGTGAGCCGAGATCTAGCCACTGCACTCCAGCCTGGGTGACAGAGCAAGACTCCGTCCCTCCCAAAAAAAAAAACAAAAAAAAAACGCACACACACACAAAAGGCTAAACAAACAGGCTTCTAAAGAAGGGAGAGTCGAGAATAAGATGTGTGACTTGCCAGTTATCTGCAAGAAGAAAAAAGATGTGTGAAGCAGTCTTTGAGAGTGGTGCCACACACTGGCCTTCAAGAGCTCCACATAAAAGGGTTTATTGGGAGGTGTACAGATAGCCTTCTAGTGGCCAGGTGTACGTGGGTCATCCAAACCAAGATGCTATTAACATTTATGTCTGCATCAGTAAAAAACTGGTGTTATTCCAGGCAAACTGACATCTACCGTAACCCAAATGTGAGCCATATGAAAAAGCCTGAGTGGCCTCGTATCTTCACTTTACAAGTCAGTCTCCCAGAGCTCAATGGGTATTGGCCTTCAAAGACCTCTTGTTGATTGGAGAAGGCTTTTTTTTTTTTGTTTTTTTTTTTTTAAAGACAGAGTCTCACTCTGTCACCTAGGCTGGAGTGCAATGGTGCCATCCCGGCTCACTGCAACCTCTGCCTCCCGAGTTCAAGTGATTCTCCTGCCTCAGCCTCCTGAGTAGCTGGGATTACAGGCGTCCGCCACCACACCCAGTTAATTTTTCTATTTTTAGTAGCGATGGGATTTCACCATGTTGCCCAGGCTGGTCTTGAACTCCTGACCTCAGGTGATCTGCCTGGCTCAGCCTCCCAAAGTTCAGATTACAGGCGTGAGCCAGCATGCCCGGCCCAGGGAGGGTTTTTTTTTTTTTTTTTTTTTTTTGG